GTGGAGACAGTTAAGTGGTGGGCTGTGTGTGATCCGACATAATATGAAATAGTAATGGAGGAAATAAAGAAGATAAATTATATATTTCTGTTATTTACTAAAACAATAAAATTTTATTCTGTAAACAGTATTACTTTAATTGTAAGGCGAACTACATTATGTGATCAAAAGTATCTGGAAACGTCCAGATTGTGTTATTGTGTGGTCATGTTTTTCATGGAGGGGTCTTCAACCCCTTGCTGTTTTGTGTGACACTATCACGGCACAGGCCTACGTTGATGTTTTAAACACCTTCTTGCTTCCCACTGTTGAAGAACAATTCGGAGATGGCGATTGCATCTTTCAACACGATCGAGCACCTGTTCATACTGCACGGCCTGTCGCTAGTGATTACACGACAATAACATCCCTGTAATGGACTGGCGTGCACAGACTCCTGACTTGAATCCTATCGAACACCTTTCGGATGTTTTTGGAACGCCGACTTCATGGCAGGCCTCACCGACTTACATATCCAAGTAACTATAATGAATTGTTGAGATCCGAATATCTATCGAATTGACCTGACCAGGACACCTCTAAGAATCACCGATTAACCAAGCGGCACACGTGCTAGTAAAAGTTCCTGGAGCACACGCAGTGATCTCTCAGATGCATCATTTAAATTGTGGCTTACATTGCTTCGCAAGCTCACTATTCGGTTTTTCCGGCACAAACACACATTTAACACATTTACTAACATTGAAACCTTAAAATTTTATTGAACTACGATGTTTGTCAATAATAAGAACAAGATATAGATTAAAATGTATGTATTAATGTAAATTGTTCTACGTGCCCCTGTTTTGCTCTATGCTGCGAATTTTGACTGAGATTGTTTTAGTGACGACAGCATAAAGCCTATTGGCGTTAACTGGTAGCAATGAGATCTGAGAAGAATAACAGAAGTTTTGAAAACGACGGTGTTGTCAAAATTTTCTATACCTAAAAATTTTCAATTCTTTCGCCCTGTCAACGGAAGAACAACTCAGTCATCAGAGAAAGCGATCGCGTGTGTAGCAGTGTCAATACGATCCAAGACAACAGATAAGATTAAGCGAACGTTGCAAATGAAATGGAAAGTAAGTGCTGCGTTTCTGCATCACTTTTTATCCTACTCGAATTTAAAATTATGAGTAAATCATAAAATTGAAATGTTCCTCACTTATTGTTCCTCTATAATTTTTTTCATAATTCATGTTATTCCCAGACAGCCATTTTGTTTCATCGGTTCAGATTATTCACGTCATCACGACAAGATAAAGTAATTAAACGAACGTCTAAAAAAGACTCACAGAAAAATTATTTCAAAACCCTAATGAATTAGAAATTCCTTTTTTGATTTGCAGTTCATTCGGCACATAACTTGTCAATTCGATACTAACATCGAGACAGGTCGAAAACGAGTGTGCTTCTGAAGAAGTTTTTTTATTGCTGAAATATTTTTCTCACTCGTATTATTTAAAATTAACGCATGAAATTTTCTGTGGACAGTAATTAATTGTGTAAAAATACAAACTCAGTGATATAATAATGCCAACAACGCTGTTGAAGAATATTGGTGTACCCACCACGAGGTCATGCCAGCCTGCCCAATCATTGTCTATTCGACGTTTACAAATTGTAGGAGCATGGGAATTTAAAATCACACTAGCATTTTGAAGCAATACTTGGACCGAGTAATTATGATGAGGCAAATAACACAGTCAAATACTTCCATAAGTCTGCTGTCCGAAAGGCGAGATTTGCATGTGCTTATGGTAAGTCCTACGCCGAGTGCTGTTCTGGAGCCGATTTGTCCTTAAATATTTATCGTACAGCGTGAGTGTCGAGGTGTCGAACAATGGTAGCAGTTCCTAAACCAGAAATCCCAACATCGCCTTCGGCGCATTTGCGCTATGAGACGTTTGCGATGAGATGTATAAGTGATGATGATGTAAGTAATGAGCACGAACATAAAGGAAACGGTGGAATGAGAAACGGAGAATGTGGGAGAACTTCAAGAAACGTGCTTTATCCACCATCCAATTTTTCACCGAATTATTCCACCGAATAATCTTTATCCAAGGTCCAATTTTATCTGACGAGAAACGAACCACGGCCGGTGATAGACAATCAGTCTGCCACAATAGGGGTCTCCCATTTTCAATCCATCGTAATATTGTCAGTGCGGTATTCTATATGCCATTGAAACGTTCTATTCTATTTTCATAAATTAATTATTTTAGGGGAGGGGTTAAAGCAAGCAAAAAGGCTATTAATTATCATGAACCAGACATAGTACTAGCACTACCACCATTCGCAATGTGTTTATTAATATGTATTTACCCCTGACATTGTATTAGTTTGTCTTCAGGATGAAATAAACACATTACAATTACCTTTAAGCAAAACTAGTATGCTCTATTGAGCCTGTTTTACCCTTTGAGATTCGTTATTTCCACAATAATGTCCTACCGTATGTATACTATGTTTCGCGCCTTATGGCATGGCTGCCACGTGCCAGTCCCTTCATAACCTTGGAGGCAGCCAGCGCGCCAGCTCAGCACAGTATGCCACATGATACCGGCCGACGCGCCAGAATAGCTATCGCTTCTATTATCACCACTACCAACACAATCTGCACAGTCATATACATAAATTCAATTGGAGTATCAACCTGGTATTCCAAAATAACTGTCTTTTTATATTTGCATATTGTTATTTGCACGGCATTAAAACCAATTGTATTGTTTTTACTGTTTTTCCAACCATTTTACGTCTGCCCACTACGTCTGCCAGTTTGTCCAGAACCTTCTCGGGAACGATTAAACCTATTTTGAAAAGATTTTCGCTGAGCGGTACAGAATTTTGTTGGGTAAAATTTAAGATACTTTTTATTTCAGATCATTATTTTATAATATTTAAAGATGAATGTTGTTTTATACAAATATAGTTGTATTCCGACATAAATGAAATTTTGTACACATGACCTTCAAAGTAACAGATTTCGTAAAACTACGCACATCTCCCTTTCCTACTCCTTACAACAAAATTTACGTGTGCACTCTCAGTTTTTCGGGAGTACTTCGAAATCCGTAAGACTACATTATCCCAAGTTAATTGTAAGTTTCATAAATTTCATGAAATGTATTTAAATACATTTTGATTCATTCGAAGCGCAATTATTCTTTGAGAAACTCCAGGTCGAACTTTGTTCTGAGAGTTTGGTGTACAACAATACAAATATTTTTATCCCCTTTGGTTAGATTAAGTAAATAGTTATGACATTACATTCAGTTTCCTAATGATGTACTTCACCTTGGGGGATGGGGCAGGGGGCAGGTGGGTAAGGATAGAACTGCAGACGAAACAATTATATTCTTGCCTAACAGACGTTTGTGATTAATAAATACTTGAGCAAGGCCTCGTATTTAAGCTAGCCCCCTATAAAATCACCCCCACAACCACCACTTCTACTGCCATCACAATGTACACCATACTCATATTCCCCATACCACGAATTGCATGTGGACATTCAATATTCGAAGTACTGTTCACTCAAAACGTCTCTGAAAATAATATTGCCTACTTTCATTTGCTAAAATAGACCATCGGTGCTCGTAAGCAGATGGACTGAAATCTCGTGTGACGCCATCACGTCTTCGCGGAATAAGACAGATTATACACCTACGATGTACCAAAGCTATCGTACATCGGCGATAGCTAAAGTCGGCTAAAGCAACAGTGGCGGCTTGTGCTTAGGTTGCACGGTTGCACACAAATTAGCCATGCTCTTATGTAACGCCACCAACCAATTCAACCAAACCACCAACCAATGTCACATATTGTTGGAATCGGACTATGTTGCTGTGATGAACCTTCTACCGAAATTCCTAATTATTAGAAATAAACGTAGTATTCCCGCGGTACGCAACTAGTTGAGCATGATTGCCGGAGGGCGCATGACATGAGCATACGTGAGCATACGTGAGCATACGTGAGCATACGTGAGCATACGTGAGCATACGTGAGCATATGTGAGCATATGTGAGCATACGTGAGCATGCGCGTGTGCACGTGCATGATGCTCGAATGAGGGCTCGTCTTAGTACATCTGCCCGTCTTCCCTCATGCGCACGTGCATTACTCTCGAATGAGGGCTCGAAAAGGTTAATAATGCGCGGGTGCGAGTGCGGACGAAAGGCAAGTGCAAATTAATGCCTCGTTGGCCCCTCACCCACCAGTAAATATATTTTTGGGTATATTTGCGGTTTGATTCTAAATATCTAGTAGCAGATAATTAGCCGATAATAAAGTAGCAGATAAAATGGTTTATCCGATCCTTTTTTACTGAAATTCACAAAATTATTTAAACAGTCAAACATGTATAAAATAGAGTGATGCACATAATATAAATAATTAATCCCTCAGGTATATTTTGTTTCTTTTTGAACACAAAAAAAGAACAATAAAAAATTTTATTTTTCAAATATAATGAATTACGGCGTTTCGCGATATTTAGTTTTACACATCATCAGGTGTGAGCAAAATACATATAAATTCATTTATGTTTGAAAATAAAAAAAACTACATTTTGTTTTATTTTTGTGTTTTCCTTACGTTTTTTTATTGCTTAATAAATCTTACGTGTTTGTACAATCAACTGCCTTTTTAGATCCAATTTATATTAATATTGTATTTTTTCTTAAATGTTATATTAGTCTATTATTTTAACTAACTTGTTCCTACACGAAAAATGCATTGCATTGATTATTTCCTTTTTCCGAATTCTTTGGTTGAGCAAATAGTGCTCAGTTGCGGAAGCCCTGTCTACGTTCCAGGGATTCCTAGGGTTCCGCGAATGCCAGGTTGAAGACCCCTGCTCCAACCAATCGATTCGAAATCCGTCCATCGCTTCGAAATGCCCTCCAACCGAGCATTACGCTGCACTCTGGTGGCCCTTCCGAGCATCGACTCACCTGCGCCGCCCGCCGCTTGGGGTCGCGCCGCTCCCCTGGCGCGCACAGCCTCCAGCCGGGCGAAGTCGGGGTCGTCCACGTCGAAGGCGATCGCTTCCTCGAAGTCCGTGAAGGTTAGCGACGCGCGCGACGCGTTCGCCTGCACCGAAAAAGCACACATAAACCTCACTTTGGTCCCTCACTTTGGTCCTTAAATACATTGACTTGTGACAGATCATTAGCTAGACGATATTACTAAATATGGAGCTTCGTTACGACTTAATTTTTGGTATTGAAGCTCCCGATTTGATAACTGCGTCACAACAGATGATTTTCATATGGCACTGCTTTTAAACCGGCCAATATGGTCCTGGTTTTTAACATTCTGTTTAGGATTTCTGAGTAGGTTAATTTCGTTTGTTTTCGTTAGAATTGTATTAATAAATTGATGTAAGGGGTGGTACATAAAGTAAGTAACGCAAATTTGTAGTATTTTATATTTTCCCCTCCTCGCTTTAATGCGAGCTTCACGACCCCCCGCCCCCTCAATTATTTAAAGCTTGCGTCACCACCTCACCCACGTTTCTAATATGTAAAAATGCGCTGTAACGCAAACCGACTGCTACACCGATTATTATTATTATTATTATTATTATTATTATTATTATTATTAGTGAACTTAGTTTCCTTTAATAAATAGTGAATAAAAGAGAGGGGAGGAGATAGGAAATTCATAGTAAATATCCCCGGTCTCAGTTTTACTACAAAAAATTATTCGAGAAAATCTCTGCCAATCAGCCGGACAGATGCGAACATCGATGACCCATACGTGAGGTTACCCATTCATTTAATTAGAATCTAGAATACACTAATTTTCAGTTTTGAAATATTTCTTCTTAAACTAACAGAGTCAAACAAAATGTCATTGGAGAATAATATTTCCATTTATTACAACAATTTATTCATAATAACTTTTTTACGTACTAATATATTCTAAATAAATTTAAAGTTTTGTTGTCATAGTACGAGACTGATTAAAAGAAACTATTTATTTAAACACAGAAAAATTGCTAAAAAATGAGTAGCATTGCGTAGCACTGACACCCCTACTCCTGTATATTGTAGGGTAACGCTTCTTCTAACTCCCTCCCCTTCCTTTAGCGTTACGTAATTTATGGGCGACTCCTAGAGGCAAGTAATTTAATAAATTTTGATGGTCACACTAATTCAAATTGAAATCTGATTTACATAATACACCAAAGTGTATGAAAGATTAAACAAATGGGACAGAGTATATTATATAAAAATATATCTCTAAAAAAGTTAAAGACATGTAAATTCGATTATATGCAAAATCACAAAATATAAAAATATCAAAGTATTTAGATCAGAAAAAAATACAATAACGAGAGGACAATGATGGCTGCCCTAATTATGATCGTTGCGAGTATGTGCAAGCTGGCCAGCATCTGTCTCCTCGGATGAGTTTTATCAATCGCAGTTTCCACTTCGGAGTTGTGTACAGTCAGTCACATTAATGTTCAGGCAAAGCCCTTTTTTCCTCTCCTTAACCCAATTTCAAGTTGAGCTGTAATGCACAAAATGTTTAGATATAAAGCATTTACACCTTTACTGCAGATGATAGTACCAACTAGACCACTGGAAGTTGAAAGATTTTTGTAACACTACGAGAGTATTCGGAATAGAGGATGAAATTCCACTTTAATATTCGGGCAATTCTTCACGTTCCTCGTAATGAGAAATGATTTCCATATTTGTTAGGATGTGGTACGATGAAAATATCCCTAGTAATGAACCGAAATATCACAGCTTATGTTCAGTAACTGTTTTGACAGCAGACTAGCAAATCTAAGAAAGAAGGACCGCAAAAGACGTCATGCGTTCGAGGAGTGATAGTGATTGTTCGTCACGCCAAGGGCCGTACGCGAAGAGAAATAGCAGAAGTTTTAAATATTTGAAAAAGTACGGTTATTGACATTACACAGACGTACAAGAAAGAAGACTGATTCAATCCAAACCACAGACAGGGCGTCCAAACAAGGTCAGTAAATGTGAAGAAATCATGTTATTGCGACGGGTAATGAAAAATCTCAATCAGTGCTCGAGCGCTATTTTCCCAACTGTGTGCTTCAACTGGATCGTCCGTCCAAACTGTGCGCAGAATGCTAAGAAATGTTGCTTATAATGGGCGAGTTGCTAGAAAAAATCCTTTCATAAGCGAAGCAAATAGAAAGAGGTCGCGAAGCAGTACAGCGAAGCAGTACAGCGAAGCAGTACAGCGAAGCAGTACAGCGAAGCAGTACAGCGAAGGTACTGCTCGAGCATTCACCTGGTGTTCATCGGAGAAACCATAGAAAACTACCAATCAGAGCAGCCGGCTGCTAGAATTCTCCTCCAGGCAGCGACTTAACTCGACCTAGCTGACAATTAGTGTCTAATATCCTGTCACCGTCGGGACTCGAACCTAGAACCTCCCTGTGAGAAGGACTGCAATGACATCAGTTGATGTCCGGAGCCATCTCTCCCGGTACGAGAGTGAATTTGAGGTGTTTAGTTCAGATAGTAGGTGAATGGTGATGAAAAAGCGAAATGAGTTGCTTGAAAATGAGAATATCACTTCATCAGTAAACCATGGAGGTGGCACGTGATGATTTGGCGCTGTGTAGTTGCTATTAGTCCAACCTCTGTAAAATGTTCTAAACTCGCCCAACCAAGGCTGGCATCCAACTGCTTGAATATCCTTCTAGGGGGCTCACCAAGTCATCGCGTGCGATCTGTGTTACTATTACTACTAGTCGCTAGCAGAGTGGGAGAAATTGCTTTTATTCAAGGTTCCTTGAACAAAATACATTATCCGCATATTCTCAAGAACACTTTGCATCGAAAAGCAGAGAACTGGGGATTAGAGATTGTTTTAAACTTTATAACGGCAACGGCCCTAACCTTAAGGCCCACGTTGTGAAGGGAATGGCTTCTATACAATCGTCCCGCGGTACTCGATACGCCATTCCAATCTCCAGACTTAAACTTTATTGCGAATCTTTAGCACGAATTAGAAATTAAGATTTCCACACACTACATTCGGTGAAAAAAGAAATTAGAAGAAACGTTACGAAAATAATGGTGTAAAATTGGGAGCAATTAAACCCAAAAATTAGTAACATCAATGCCAAGAAGACTGAAAGGTGAGGTAAAACAAAACGGAATAACTAAAGTATTAAGTTGCAGTTTAATGTTAATTTATCATATTTTCCTGTGTTGCCCGAATATTAAAGGGGCTGTAAAATTACATATGATGTAGGTAAGATTTGTACAAATTTGAGTACATTATTTTGTTTATTATGTATATATAATTTCATTTTGTTTAGAAATAATAAATTAATATTTATATTACTTGTACTGGCGTCTTTCCTTCAAATAATCATAAATCATTAAACGTGATAATTTCATCTTTGCCCAAATATTAATGTAACCGTCTGTATATCAGGCCTGTTAGGGCATTTGGTTAATTTAGCTATTATACACATTGTAATACGCTACAAATCCATGCGCAAATACTCTAAAATACATAAATATGTAGAGAGAAATAAAGATTTAAATGCCTTAAAATTATTGTAATTAGTTTGTGCAGAAATCATAATTTAAAAAAACACCTTTTTGCAACATAATTGGGGAAGTATTGTAACTTTATTACATTTATCAATGTTAGTGTATTTCCAAAATCAATGCTGTATTCCCAATTTTTGCTAGACACTTAACAAAATCACTTTCACTGTAAACACAGATTTCAACATGTTTCTGAAATGAAATGTTTTATATGTACTGAATACCTATATCTTGTCACGTATGTTGTAGTGGACTATAACATGAAATCATACTACAAGTATCAGTCTTAATTTTAAAACGTAATGCATCGTATAATTATAAAACACTTGTACAGGAGCATGTTTCAAGTATATGAATAATGTGCTTATTCATTACTGGACATTGCGTTTATAAACATTCATCATCATTGTGTATACAAACACAATATTTGCATTCAAAAACATTTAATCACAGAAATTAAATTCGCTATTTTCGGTGAGCTAAATAAAAACTCATTCTTGCACACACGTCCTTGCGATAATTCGAGACCTTGAATACTCTGTATACTGTACATGCACACTCTGGTCTTGACACAACCACACGACATAATGAACAAAAGATGACAGTTAAGCGTTCATTCTATTAATGTTACGATTTTAACAAAATTTTGTGTTAATACTACAAAACCGGTTAATAAGAGCAAATAACACATCTGGGGCCCACCGTATTTCATTTAACTAAAAAATCTCGAGATTTCGTTGGGTAGAAAGCTTATATTCCATTCTAGAATAAACCCTTATGTTTTAAATACATATTAAGATACTACACCATTTTACCTCAAGTGAGATTTCCGGATTCTGATGCCTTGGGAAGAACATACTTTTTTCTTCTTCTTTAATGTCCATCTTGTAATTAATAACACGTAAAATTCCAATATTTATTATTTCAAACATTGTTTGAAACAATTTTACGACATACAGCGTATGACTGTCATTTTCACCTCACACTACATCGCCACGTTGTAAGCCATAGACTATGACGCGTAACTAGGAAATCTGTGAACTGACGCAAATCAAGGGTACCCCCTCCAATCGGTTTTTCTGGACCTATGAAGAAGACCAATGGGCAAAGAGCTTCGTACCACCCCTCTTCAATAACCATTACGTGCGAAGCCCGCGGCAAAACCAAGTCAACCAGGCACGACGATGGATTGAAAAATCTTATTGCTTGGAATGATGAGCTCGCTATAATACAATATATCTGTATTTTCTATACAAATATTTATGAAATATCTTGCAATGCTTTGTCGAAAGATACATTTTCTTAGAAACATTCACTGAATTGGATGCAGTTGCACACACACACACACAACGTTCTTTCCAAACAACGTGGAACCACAATTTCGTTTGGGAAGTAAGTGTAATTTTTTTCAAAACTTTTTCTTTCACTTCTCTTCCCGACTATGAAGGCTTTTTGTAACTATTTTGAAATATTTAACCCCTTGTAACATTGAACAAAAATACTTAAATGCATCGTTTTCATTGATCACACAACTGTTGTAAATGAATTTATTCAGAAATATCGCATATTCTATAAGAAATATAAAAATCAACTCCTCACATCCTCCCTTTTGTACGGTTATTTCATCTTTTTAAAACGTTTGCCCGCAGAAAGAACTATTGGTACCGCAGAATGGCAGTCTTTCTCGTACTAGTTAGTTTTCTTTGGTGTCGACTAACCTTTCGGTCTTGCCATATCCTCTTGCCAGCTTCCACCTATCGCCACCCAAATTACTTCGTTAAAAAATTCAATTTTTCGGCTTCCTAGTGGTAGAATCGAAATATTACTTTAAAGAAGAATGGAACCTCGCCCTTTATGGAAGATTTCCATGGAAAATTTGGAGCCTTTGTTAAAATATCGTTTAAGCATTAGTGTAAATGTGAAATTTGAAACTTTTTTCACATGAAACTTTTGAGTGTTCAAAAAACGTTTTTGGAAGTCATTTGAAACACAATAATGAAATGCAATAATGTATACAAATCGCAGAAAATGTTCATGACCTTAATGAAATAATTAAATATGAAACACATTTTTTTTCATTTGAAGGAAAAAGCTCTGTTTTCAATTTTGTAGTTGTAGAAAAACTCCGAAAAAATTTGAAACTTTTTTACTTCGCACCTACACCACCTTTATACTAAGTGCATTTGAATCTAATTTTACTAGAAATTTAAAGAAAAAACTGGAGCCATTTTCAACAAATTTTGAAAATGTATGTAAAGTACCCTCAAATTTCGAAGAATGTGTTGTCAGAATCTGAAAGTTTCGAGTCGAGCCAGATCGACCGGCGAATATGTTTTGGAAAAAATCCTACGTATGGTTTAGGCGCTAGTGGCGTCCACAGACGGACGGACAGACGTTTTGATAACAAAACAAAACTAGAAAACACTTTTTCGGTATCAGTGGGCCTCAAAACGTGAATTTCCGTTGAAATATCGGAATCGATTTTCCGCAGCATTACACAACTTTCTCTACACTACGTATGTTACTCCTTATTACTCCGTACGTATACGAGAGAGTAAAAACAACAACAACAACCTAAGCACATTTCCAATTTTTTTCAGTATCGGAGACGTAGTTAGTAGATTAACAGTAAATAATACACGGCCTCCTTCCCTCCCTGCCACCCCTCTCAACCTGTGGCCTCGGCCCGGCGAACGCCATGTGCCCCAAGGCCAGGTGCTAGAAGGAAATATTGCCCATACCACCTACTGCGTATAATTCCAAATAGTCTGCCAATTATTTCGTATCCTCGCTTCAAAACCCGTATTTGGTAGGACATTTATACGCCACAAAGGTGAGCTTTGGCGGCCTAGGCCAAGAATGGATTTCAGAGGACGATTGCCATGGCAACGTCAAGTAAACAAAGCAATGTTCAAATAACTGTTGACACATTCGCAAAGGATATTTATTATACTTCAAATACAAAATGCTTTAACTCAGTTATTCTTAATATTTATATTAATACTCAATTTGATATATTCTGAAAAAATACACCTGGAACAGTTAAGTTTTCCGTGCATAGAGAACTCGTGCTAGGAGACTCAACAGCAATTGAAGTAATACCATTTCATAGAGATATGCCAGCATAGTTGTTTCATTCAGCCCGATTACATGTTTCTCTCTTTTCCCTTTTAAGAAGAGTTCATACTCTCTTTCGTATGAAGCGTTTCATTTTTGAGATTCAGTAGCAGCTTCAGCTTCCTCAATTACAATCTCCGGAATATCGCACTCCATACTTACGAAACAAATCGCCAAAACCAGCCGCAAATTCTACACGCTTTAACAATTGCGACAATACTGACAACTTCAGAGGCGATACTGTAGAAGAACATTGCATCTAAACGACAAAACAGCATGGTATAAATGAAATCTCTTTAAAAATTCAAACCTAAACTTGGGAGTTGAGTATACGAAAAACAGTTGTATGCAACTGGGCCTAAACTGAATGATAATGGGCTCGCTTAGTTCACCAACCTCAGCTCCGCGCCGCTTCCCCGATCCAAAATCATTCATTTTTCAGCCCTAATAAATAAATAACAATTTATTCAAAATTGATTTAAATCATCAAAAAATGATACATAATTGTATCCGCTTCTCATCTACCCATTGTAGGTGAAACTAGTGATAATTAGACCTCCGAATTTTAGGCACAAAAAAGTTATTTAGGCGCCTAAAATAAGTAACAAAATTATGGAATTAGGCACTATTAGGTATGCAAAATGACGTTTTAGGCACTTAAAATATGTTAAAAAATTACTACACTTTTTATTATTCAGGAAACTCACGTATGTTTACATTTAGGAGAGTGACTATAAGCATGTATATTCACTTGCATTTCTCTTCATTTCTTCCGTTCTTTCACACTTCTCATTCTCAACCTGTCGATAGTGCCGCTGGGAACCGGGAATAGGTGCAATTGCTTAAGTGTGATTGGAGACGAGCTTGAAACACCCTCTTTACACTTGCAGAGCTCCTTATCGTCGGCGTCTTGGGTGAGAGACTTCGGTGCGTAGTCAATTGCATGATTGAATATTCGCATTTCGGGAAGTTCAGCAAAGTATTTGCGTTTCGGTGTAACACATTTTTAATGTGTAAATAAAATATCGTAATTCTTCAAAATAACTTGTTTTGGACAGATTTAGGCAAAAACATTTTAAAATAGACATCAAGCATTCTTTTAGGACAATTTAAGCACTTTTAGATGCTTTTGTAAGATAGATTTTTGCACTATTAGTGAACATTTGCAATTATTTTCCACAATCTCCTAAAGGAGGTAAAGAGGCATTTAATGGCTGCGTTTTCCATTAATTTGTCTTCTTCTTCATATCTTCAAGTATTTAGGCATAATGCCTGTTACGCCGCTTAATTTTGGTCCCTCCAGCGCATTCTTGGACGTCCTACATTCCTTTTTCCTCTCGGCTGATAATTTGCCACTTGTTTAGGAATTCTGTCGTTGATCATTCGCAACATGTGATCTTGCCATGAGAGTCTGTAGTTGGTGACTTTCTCTATAAGACTTTCTACATTTAGCTCGTTTCGGATTTGTGTGTTTCTTTGTCTGTCCAAAAGGTCGCTACCGCTCTAAGGAATCTCATTTCCATTAATTTGTAATTTCGAAAACAATTTAAATTATCTGATATTTCACTATTTGTTTCTGACAAAAACTATTCGTTTCATCAGCGAAGATAACTGTTCTTCCATTTTGATTGACTGGGTATTTCATTTACGTGTAGTAGGAAGAGAATAAGCCCTTAAATCGAACCCTGCAGAATTTAATGTTCAATTGGAAATGAATCGGAAACATGAGTGAATAATGTTCTTTCATTTCAGTATATTTACACTCCCTGCGCTTGTTGTCTACGGTACTAATATTGCCAGTCTAGAGCAATACCATGAATTTAAATTCCATACGAAGGTAATTTTGAAAGTAAAATGTCATGATCAATGACGCCAAATGTTTTTGAAAGATCTTAAAGTATTCCAATGGGTGTTTCATTTTGATCCATTGATGAATCGACATCTTAAGGAAAGAAATGGAATGTATGGTTTATCGCACTTCGTCTAATATGAATTGTAAAGAGAAGTTTATTTTTCTAGAAACAGAGTTCAGTGTAATTTTCCTAATTCTGAGTATAGTGTGGTTTCAGAAAAGAGGATTCATATTCACCTATGCATGTTGTTATCCCTTACAAAACACAACAACAAACAAATTGTCTTTTAAAACTGATTTTCTTCGAGACATTTTTAACGTTAGAGATTTCTGATTTCAGATATAAAACTATTCACTATCTCACTTTTTCTCTTCTTCTTCTTCTTCTTCTTCTTCTTCTTCGGCTTTTTCCCCTTAGGAGCTTGCCGTTTTCACCCTCCACAAGACTCCACAACAAATCTCCTCCCTCTTCAATGCCAAATATAATAAAGTTCAGCATTTTCATGGCCTTAGTTCTTTTGGCACAATGATGCACAATTTCTTTTGTAAGGAAATAGAAGGTCGTGGAATTCTGAGATACCTTAAAGGAGTAGGGAACGAAGACAGTATTAATTGCAGAGTGAGGCCCAGAGCTGGGAACAAGAGAAGCAAGGCCAGTGATTGGTGTTAAGTCCGACTCGTGTGGGGACCCCCTTCCCTCTCCATCTCCCACCAAAAATGTATATGAAGGGAAAAATACAAAACAGATTTTTTTCAAATTGTCATGTTTACCATTAAGTTGTCATCAAATTGTTATCACATTTATTTGTCATCACATTCATTTTATGTAACTTCAGCAGTTCATTTTTGAAATGCAAAAACAAAACTGCACTTTATTTTTTTGATATAATGATCATTTGGCAATTTTTGCCAATCGATTTTGTCGGCCATATTCCTGTAACCATGTAAAATCGCAATACTGTTGAGCCAATTTTGCAAACACAATTGATCGCATATACGTCTTGAATCGACGCAATAACGAGGAGCTT